CAGCCTCTTGTCTGAATTCTGGCCTTATCCAGAGGAGCCCAGGCTTGGCCAGAACTTGATAGACATCCGTGGATGAATGCTGATAGAGTTAATGGCTGGGATTCTCTGTCATGCCTCCTAGTTATACACAGGGGCTGTCAGTAGCCAGTTGACCATGAGACAGGAAACTAGCCAGCCCCTTGGGCTTTCGTGTGGGTAGGTTATCGCTTCATGCACAATGAGTTTACTTTAAATAGTTTCGTCATCTGAGCTTACATGTCAGCAGCCAGGTGGGGGGCGAGCGAGGGCCCTGGAGACGAAGGGCCTTGAAGAAGGCCTCAATTGATTGCCATTTGCTGTCAATGGGCAGGGCAGACTGCTGGTGAAAGACTGTGTAGTCCCCAGCATGAGTTCAGCTGTGCTCTCCTCTCAGATTTTCAGCTCCGTACAGCGGAGCTTTGGTAATTCTCAGACTGGACTCTATTGTTCGAGCACCTTGGCCACACCCATTGCCAGGTAATGGAGGTGGTGAGTGAGGGTGAATTTCTCCAGCACGGCTTGGGGTGGGGAGCTCTGCAGGAGCTGATCAGGGGAATAAAACCTACACCGCACTTCGCAGCTGGGGATCTGGGCAGGATACATGTTTTATAGTAGGGACAGGGCCGGTTCAAGCCATTCCTGCGCATGCACGACCCCGCCCCCCCTCCAGCGCACTGCGCACCTTACAGCTGCAATCGGGCACGCAGCGCCTGATTTCAGCTCTAAGGGGCGCCACGTGCCCGGCCCCGCAGCGCCCCTTACAGATGCCATCAGGCGCCCCCCATAGGTTGGCGCCCCGGGCAGCTACCCAGCTAGCCCCCCTGTTAATCCAGCCCTGGACAGGGAAGCTGAGACTCAGAAAAGTTATGTGACGTGGTCAGGGCCCCACAGTGAGTCCGTGGCAGGGCTAGGAATATAACCCTGGTCTCTTGGGGTATGTCTACACTACAAAGTTAATTCGAACTAATGGATGTTAGTTCGAATTAACTTTGATAGGCGCTACACATACAAACCGCTAGTTCAAACTTAATTCGAACTAGCGGAGCGCTTAGTTCGAACTAGGTAAACCTCATTCTACGAGGACTAAGCCTAGTTCGAACTTACTAGTTTCGAATTAAGGGCTGTGTAGCCACTTAATTCGAACTAGTGGGAGGCTAGC